ACCTTTTTTTTATTGCCCTCTCCAGAAAAGTGCCCCCCCAGCTTTACCTTGTGTTTACTCTCAGTGTCAGTTATAGAAACCCACCCTGAAACATGAAACAAAAGTGTGCTGTTGTGTTGTTTCAGGTTGGAAAGATGGTTGATTTTATTTCCACTGTGGTGATACAGTGAGATACCAACATAACGAGAGGCCAATCAGATTGCTCTGAAATGTTCCCTCCCACTTTCCATGATTACATTAAGGCGAGTCATCTTCTAATACGCTCTAATTTAGCTGCAGCTACAAGTGGATTAACATGAAAATGGTGATCATATTTTATTTGCTGCTGATGCTCAGAGTGGGACGTAAGTATATTTACAGAAGTCAGATTTACTCCAGATATACATTTAAAATATTATGTTCTTACAGTAATTTAGTACAGTGTGTACATTTTTCTTTCTCTGTTGTTAATCACTGCTCCATTTAATTTTATGTTCAGGATGCACAGACGATCACGTCTTTGAAACGACAACTGTTGAAGTTGGAGATGATGTGACTTTAAATTGTACTCGCCAGACATCTGAGTACGATGATACCCTCTTTTGGATCAGGCTTGTTTCTGGAAAACAACCTGAATTCTTGGGAGGAACATATGCCTTTGATTATGAAGATGTTAACAAGACTCCTCACATTACAGCAAAACAAGAGCCTGGATCATTTATTCTGCATATTCATGAGACAAAGCTGAGTGATACTGGACTTTACTACTGTTTAAAAGTAAATCTACTGGACATGACATTTTCCAAATCAACACTTCTGAGAGTTAAAGGTAAATAGACATTTTAAATTACTTGACAAAAAATAACTGTGCTTTAATCCAACATATTTACCATCAGTTTACATAATATGATTTTTCTACATGTATATGTGTTTCCATAACTCATTATGGTTCAAATTATGTCTCCATATTGTATAGAAAAGGTTTTAAGCATATGAATTTAAAATTTTCATTACTTTAAATTTTATTAAATTGAGTAAAACATGTCATTTTATCTTGACATTTTCCAGGACCAGAACCTGATATCACTGCCGTCACTCAAGACTTTCCATCTGATCCAGTCCGTCCAGGAGACTCAGTGACTCTGCAGTGTTCAGTCCTCTCTGACTCTGAGAAGAAAACATGTTCAGAAGAACACAGAGTTTATTGGTTCAGAGCCGCATCAGATGAATCTCATCCAAATTTGATTTACAGTCATGGAGACAGTGATGGATGTGAGAAGAGTCCTGAAGCTGGATCTTCACAGAAATGTATCTACAGCTTCTCTAAGAACATCAGCTCTGATGCCGGGACTTATTACTGTGCTGTGGCCACATGTGGGGAGATATTATTTGGAAATGGAGCAAAAGTGGACATTCAAGGTAAGTGCAGAATATTTCCATATTAATCTTTAATAATCATTAATTTTGAATTCAGTAGAAGAGATGAAAATAATGTATTACAAAAGTTTAGTTTCCATTACATTGTAACACCTCGTCAATAAAGCTGTTAACTTTCATTATTTGCTCCTGATGTTGTTTCAGAGCTCAACATGTGGGATCTGCAGAAGGCCAACATACTTCTGTTTCTGTTATTTGCTGCTTTGGCTTTAAGTCTGACTGTTATTGCCTTCCTGATTTATACCATCAAGAAGAAAAGTTGTTATTGCAATGGTAATTAAACCTTCTCATACATCAGTCCATCAAACAGTCGGCTGTTTTGCAAAATCTAACTTCACAGGATTTAGAATAATGATTAGTGTAAATTAACGCACAGAATCTTTTATCTTTAATCTTTGTTTTATTTCATGATACAGCTGCCGTCACTCTGCAAACAAATGCTGCAAGTCAGCAGGTAAAGTATATAAAGAATAGGTGTAGCTGGAAAAGTTATTGGCATATTTTTACCCCGACATATCTAGAGATTAAAATCTGTCGTCTAATTATACTTTTCTATATATTTCCTCAGAGAGACGAGGACTCGTTGGCTTATTCTACACCGACCTTCACCAAGAGGAAAACTGGCCGAGCAGACAGAAGGAATGTAAAAGCAGCAGAGGGAGAGACAACCTACGCTGATGTCAGGACCTTAGTGAAAAATTAACATCTGCTGGATTTGCTGATTAAAAATTAGCATCATTTTTGTTTGTTACACTGTTGTAAACATTTACATTCGTCATTCTGACGTCATGTTCTGTCTGTTTGCAACCATTGTGTGACTTTTTATGCTCTTATTATATTAAGGCTTTATAGATTATCATGATGCAAAATACAATTAAATTAGTTGCTTTGAGTGATATTCTTTTTGCATGTTTTTTAATAAAGTATGAAGAGGATTAGTGCTACCACTCAGACACGCAGTTTGAAAGATTTACCTTGAAGGAGGGGGGAGTTTGAATTTTGAGGTGAGCCATTTTCAGGTTTTTCAAAAGTTTTGTTTTTGCTTTTCTTTCAAAATGGCATATTTTTTGTCTCATTTTTAAATGTTTACTTGTGATTTGTTGCTTTTTAAATAACTATTTGCACTCATTGCAGGATTCATTGAGTATGAAAAAATGAGATTGGATTTTTTTGTCTCTTTTTTTGTTGGCTTTTTGCCTATATTAGATAGGATAGTCTATGTGTGAAATGGAGAGAGAGATGGGTCGACATGCAACAAAGGCCCCCAGGCTGGAATCTAACCCACGGCTGCTGCGGCAAGGACAGTGCCTTTGTATATGGGATGCCTGTCCTACCCACTAAGCAACCGGGCACCCAGTGTTTTCTTTTTCGGCATTTGCAGCATAGTGGAAATATATAGAATACTTTTAAAGCAATAACTGATGAGGCTAAAATGGCAGTCATTTCATATTGCTTGATTTATCTTCTTTATGTTGATCTTTTACCACACTTTACTGTAAATCCAATGATTTTCACAATTTGCATTGAATTGCTATGAAGAATTAACAACGCAAGCATGTTATATTTGCCTCTAAAAAAAAAAAAAAAGCAAACATTGACTACTTTGAGTTTACTTTGATTAAAAAAATCCAAAGGGTTTAAATAATGCCAATAAAATGAAATTAAAAAAAAAAAAATCTAATGGGGACTGTATGCTGTTTTCATATTGCCTGCATGTTAAACAATGTGACATATTTTGTGTCTCAACCCAAATTAACTTGAGATTTAATATTAGATTTAAAAATTGACACAATAATTTAAATTCATCCAACATTTAAATAATAGTACTAAAGGGCATTTATCAAGTTTCTAACAATGAGAACTTCCCAGGGATTTGACAGGCACGCTGTGTGTAGTTCTCTGGGAACATGTTTTCCAGAAATCAATCAATCAATCAATCGATGTTGTATCTGTTTAATGGGAACTTCTCTTTGAGCAACATTCTTACACAGTGAAGCGCCAATATTTACTGACCATCAACAGCTAGGCCTGATGTTTTGTTCTCATAGTAAAGTTGCCAGCTTTACACACATATTTCACTCTTACCAAAACCACAGTCATTTTTTGGAGGGTGTAGAGGAACAGCCTTTCTGGACTTCCTTTGAACCAGTATTATCAATGAACAAGACCCACAAGACCACTGGGGTCAAATGTTTAGGACTCAACCCCTGTATTACCCCAGACTGGACAAACGCTTCGTTGAGCCATCCTTAGGCCAAAAAGAGGTAAAAAGTCACTTGGGATCCCTCAAGTTTCAGACTCCATCTTAAAGTATCCAGCCTTGGGGCAAAACGCGGTGATGAACAACCCACTAGTTGTCGTGAGACAATGCGTCTTTTCTCAGCCACATCCTGTCCATTCGCATTGCCCCGGGGAAATCACGCCTTCCACTCTCTTACCAAATGTTTCTGTGTGACAAAATTGAAATGTCTGTTGAAAGTGAAATTAAACATTTTATCCATGTTATAACGTTGTAAATGTGCATAATCCTTGTTTCTTAGTTGAATGATGTTTTTCTTGTTTCCGTTATTTAGTTATTTAATTAAGGGAATTATGAAAAATAAGATTAATCCCTCATTTAACATGGAGCCATACTGCCATCTCGTGGCAGAGTTAAATTGAGTTCCTATAAGGAGTCCCAAATTATATATTTGGAGTTAAAATAGAGTTGGATTTATTAATCAACCTGTTTTCATGAATATGTGCTTCCTCATTTTGTTTTTCTTTATAGATTGCAACTATAGGTTAGTGTAGAGTGTGTGTATTTGAAGCAGTTTATACGTGTACTTTGCTGATACACGTGGCATAATAATCGTATTCAATTTAATTGGATGTTAAAAACCGATTTTGACCATAATGAGAAGAGTATGTGCCTATCGTACGTAACATGTCAAAGTATATGATCTTGTATAATAAAAAGCATTTAGTTTCTTTAAAAATAAAGTAATAAGCCTATTTTACAACTAAGAAGACCGCCTTAGTAAACCCGCCCTCCTTTGGCCGGATAAAAACAAGTGAGTCGGTGCATCTTTTTTTGTTTTCTTTTTTTGACTCTTCTCTCTTCTTGTTTTTTTTTACTTATCTTCCTTTTTGTTTCTTTTTCGTATCTTAGCCTCTCTTGTATTTACGTTTAAGTTACGCTTTTATACTCTCACGATCAAGGTTACTTTAAAAAAAAAGAAAAAAGTTTTGCTTATCCAGTTTTCTTTTATCTCCAGTGTTTTCAACATTTTTATGCGTGTTAATAATAACTTTGATAACAATATCGAACAGCCAACGATACTGTTTTCACCATTATTATAAGCGAGTAATTATAACAAAGTAGACAAGTGCCCTTTTCAACCTGCCTCTTCAACCAAAGATTCATCAAACCCAGCGGCTGCCAGCCACTTGCCACAGCAGTTCTTGTGCCAAACCCAAAGGCTTTCTGCAGCATGAGGAAACCGGTGTTCAAGGCACCCACAGGACGTCGCAGACTCAACCGGTCCCCCCACCACAGTGCGCCAGCCGGTTTCACTCTGCTGGAAAGTCTGGGAGTTGCAAAGTGACAGTTTGGGGCCCCAGGAGAAACATCTGCATGATTCACTGCTAAGAAGGGAGGCAACGAATTTCCCCTCACAGGTGACCCACTGGGCAGTGGTAAGAGCTGATGTTGAATAGGAGATCTAATTATCTTAATCTTAATTTAGGATTCCTTAGATAAATATTTTGCGCATCCCTGCGTTCCCAATTTATCTTCACATACTCTCTCACTATCGCCAAATTAAATAACACACGAGTGTTACTTTTTGTTTAATCCATTTATACATACTGTTGATTTTGTGTTATTTCATATTATCCTCATTTATTTATTCAGTTATTACCCATTTAGCTTAAATACATTTTCATTTATTGCCAAGGCGTTGTCTGTGGATATTTCTTTTGAGCAGGAACTAAGATCACTGTATGGAGAATTCATAACCCAGATATTGAGATTGAATCATTATTGATAAGTGTGCTGACAAATTAATAATTGGTTTACAGAGTTATTTGATTTGATTAGTCGCTTCCCTCATTAGGAGGGTGGTGCCCCAAACTTTATTACGAGTGCAAACATTCTCAAAAAGGTATTTGCCCTACAAGGGCTTAACTCATCCTGGACCTGGAGGTTGTGTTGTTTTGTTTGCGTAACCCAATTTGGGCGTCTGAATCAACACTAAAAAAAGATAGAGAGGACTTTTGAAATATCCCTAGCTACAGTGTAGGTGCTAGCGTTCAGGTATGAGGGACAGTTGCAGGGGAAAGGTGAGAGGAAATGTGGCCAAAACCACAGAGATGTGAAAACTCACAGGTAAACATATGTGTGAGAGAAAGAGGGCTCTCACAAATGTGCAATAGGTCATCAAAATGGAGCATTGCAGTTTTATTAGCCTTTACCAATATTGAGCAAACTTGAGATGAATTGCACCAAGTAGAATTTTATATATTTATGTATACTTTATTAATCCCCAGAGGGGAAATTCAATTAAATTCAATCAATTGTAATTGAAATAACATGATCAAGAAAATTAAGCAAATGTGTTATTTTATTTTGTGTCTCTCATCAGTTTCTGGTGTGAATGAAAAAGATAAAGTGACAAAGTTAGAAAGACATTTTGCTCCCTCGATGTAATGGCAGTGAATTGAAGAGTATGACACAGCTTATTTTACATTTTTGTCATTTGCACATTGAGAAACTAGCAGAGAGAAAATGATTTCTGAAGTGAACTGCTGTGTATCTGTCCACCACAACTGGATAATGAGTCAAAGTATTTTGAAGAGATAATTAACTTTGCTACGTTAGAAAAAAACATGGTAATAGGATATACTGATATTCTGATATACTAAAAATGTAAGGGCATAACTACTGAAATAAATGAACCCCTCCATCTCTCTGGTCTCACAGCACTTTGTAAAGACCATCTGCATGTCAAGCAAAGCCACATGCAACAGCTACACTGACAAACACAGGCTGTGGTGGGCAGTTTCTCCTCCCTTTGACCAACCATCAAGGCTGTTTACTCAGAACAGACCTGACGATGGGCTTCAACAGGATGTGTAGTGAGAGGAGAGATACAAGAGGCTTCAGCAGGCTAACTTTTCACCTTGTTAATGTGCTCATTCACAGTACAAATATCTATCAGTCCTGTGGTTTTAAATATGCAAACAAAGGTGTCAACAGCTGCATTCTTAAAATTTCACAGATGCACATTAGTTTGTTTTGTTTTAATTTGAATGTATATTCATTGATGGATTCATCATTAATTTGAACAGGCTGCCGGTCCATAACTGCACCAAGTGACATTAGCAAGGCTGTCAAATCTGTCTGCAGATAATCAGGCAAACTACAAATCACAGTTCAAACTCCTGCTCCTGACAGAAAGACCAGGGTGGGACCAGTGAGTGATTAGCACCTCCTCCCTCTGACAGCTACCACCAATGACAAGCACCAAACAACTGAGAGAAAGTGCAACTGGGTCATGGTGTGTGTCCAACCCTCCTGAACCCTTCACCCACCTTTGTGAGTTCTTGTGATATTAAAAATAAACATAAAAGTTATATAGTGTTGTTCAACTTTCCTTTTGACAGCAGCAGTAAAGCCCAGCGTCCTGAGGCTGAAACACAGAGTGAGAAAGGTAGAACAGC